AACATTTTAAAAAGAAATGTCGCTAACTTAGTGACATTTTTTACATAGAATTTAGTGACGTTTTTTGTAAACAAACCATAAATGTCGTGAAGTTAGGAAATTTATTTTTTTTTTATTTTTTTCAGTACTTACTACTATAATTAAATAAAAAATAGATAAATATTTTTATATTCATAAAAATAATTTTATGAATTTATAAACTGAATATTATAAATATTAAAATATCTAAATATATAATTTATTTCAGTTTGCAACACAAAGTTGAATACAATAACATTCAAATTGTTTTAGTACATTAATAAAAAATTTAAAATGTATGAAATTGAAAAGCACTTAGATTTGGAGTATTACCATTTGATGAAAATTTTTTGCACTACAATCACTAACGTGGTCAAGAACCTATTAAATAAAGCAAAACAATTTTTTACACTTAATAATAAACTATTTTTTATATTAAAAAAATATAAATAGTTATAAAATATCATACTAAATATAATACCTGAGTTGATGGATCACCTATATTGGTTTTCGAAAATTATTGTTGTATAAAATTCATAAGAGTATTGAATCAATCATGCAATTGCTTATGCTTCTGATCCATTCTAGCATGTTCTTTAGCTTTTTCTACTTCCATTTGCTGGACTCATTATTGCATAATTGTAACTTTTCTCTCAATATTGAGATTTCTCATGAAGACTGACTTGTTGAGGATGTAAATTGTCCAGAGTTATGTCCATAGTAACTAGATGGTGTTGGACCTAATCAAGGTCTCGAACCTATTCATATCTTTCTTTTTTAGTAACTTCTCTAAAAATATGATCTTCTAGTTTTTATATGTTGATAGAAGAATCAAATGCTGCTTTAATCTCAATTGTCATTTTTTCTTTCACTTTCTCCTGTAAATTAATCAAATAAAGTGATCAAGTTTAATAATTAATTCATAATATATTTGAAATAGTAAATATTTACTTTATGTATAAAACGAATCCAAGAAATTACTATAATTTTTTATTTTTTGACATTCATGTAAGATCTGACTTTTTTCATGTGAGTTAATAAAAAAAGTTTCACACTTCCAACTTTTTCATCCAACTCAATCTCTTACATAAAAGACACTATTATTGTTAAACATAAATCAACCATAACTTATTCATGCTTATCAAACATGGCAATAATGAAGTTCAAACAGTCAACAAGTTTAATATCATGTATTAGAGCTATCTAAACTATTAAAATAGAATAATAATTGCAAATTTGTATGTTTACTTAACATCACAAAAAGTCTTAAACAAACATAAATCGTAATTTATTTACATATCAAATTGTGAAACTAAGTTCAATCATTCGGACAATATCATATGTTTTAGCTATCTAAACTGTTAAAATATAAATATAACTGTAAAATTACATTTTGACCATTTAAAGGCATAAAAAAATGCTAATCATACATAAATGGTAACTTTTTTACACATCAATCGTGGAAACTAAATTCAATCATTTGAACAAGTTTAATATCATGTAGTTAAGATATCTAAACTATTAAAATAGAAATATAATTGAAAAATTACATTTTTACCTTTTAATGACAAAATATCCTAAACAAACCTAAACAATAACTTTTTCATACATATCAATTGTGAAAAAAAAATCAATCATTTAGATAATTTTAATATCATGTATTGAAGCTATCCAAACTGTTAAAAATGAATAATAGCAAATTTACTTTTTAAACTTTTAACGGGATAAAAAATCTTAAAAAGATATAAACAGTAACTTTTTCACACATAAAAATCATGGAAACTAAGTTCAATCATTCAAACAAGTTTAATATTATGTATTTAAGCTATGTAAATTGTTGAAACAGAAATATAAATACAAAATTACCTTTTTGCCCTTTAACGATACAAAAATCCTAAACAAATATAAACGGTAACTTTTTCACACATTTTAGCTATGGAAACAAAAATTCAATAATTTGGACAAGTTTAATATAATCTATTTAAGCTATCTAAACTGTTAAATTAGAATAATAGTTGCAAACTCGCATTTTAGCTTTTTAATAGCATAAAAAGTCTTAAATAGATATAAATCATAACTTTTTCACACATATCAACTATGTAAACCAAGTTCAATCATTCAAACAAGTTTAATATTATATATTTAAACTATCTAAATTGTTAAAATAAAACAATAATTGTCAACTCGCATTTTTGCTTTTTAACGGCATAAAAAGTCCTAAACAGATATAAACTATAACTTTTTCACACATATCAATCATGAAAACCAAGTTCAATCATTTGGACAAATTTAATATCATGCATTTAAACTATCTAAATTGTTAAAATATAACAATAACTGCAAACTCATATTTTTGCTTTTTAACAGCACAAAAAGTCCTAAACATATATAAATCATAACTTTTTCACACATATCAACCATAAAAACTAAGTTCAATCATTCGGATAATTTTAATATCATATATTGAGTCTATATAAACTATTAAATCAGAACAATAACTATGTACTTGCATTTTTGCTTTTTAACAGCATAAAAAGTCTAAACAGATATAAAGTGTAACTTTTTCACACATATTAACCATGAAAACCAGGTTAAATTATTCGGATAAGTTTAATATCATGTATTTAAGCTATCTAAATGGTTAAAATAAAACAATAACTGCAAACTCATATTTTTACTTTTCAACGACATAAAAAGTCCAAAATAGATATAAACCACAACTTTTTCACATATATCAACCATGAAAACCAAATTCAATCATTTTAACAAGTTTAATATTATGTATTTAAGCTATCTAAACTGTTAAAACAAAACAATAACTACAAACTCCCTTTTTTGCTTTTTAACGGCATAAAAAGTCATAAACAGATACAGACTGTAACTTTTTCACATATATCAACCATAAAAACCAAATTCAATTATTCAGATAATTTTAATATCATATATTGAAGCTATCTAAACTGTTAAATTAGAACAATAACTATAAACTCACATTTTATTTTTTAATAGCATTAAAAGCCTAAACATATATAAATCATAACTTTTTCACACATATCAATGGTGAAAATCAAGTTCAATCATTTGAAAAAATTTAATATAATGTATTTAAACTATCTAAACTGTTAAAACAGATCAATAGCTATAAACTCACATTTTTGTCTTTTAACAGCATTAAAAGTCCTAAACAAATATAAACCGTAACTTTTTCACACATAGTAACCATGAAAATCAAGTTCAATCATTCGAACAAGTTTAATATTATATATTTAAGCTGTCTAAACTGTTAAATTAAAATAATAACTACAAACTCGTATTTTTACTTTTTAACAGCACAAAAATTTCTAAACAGATATAAATTGTAACTTTTTCACACATATCAACTATGAAAACCAAGTCTATTCATTTGGACAAGTTTAATATCATATATTTAAGTTGTCTAAACTATTAAAATAAAACAATAATTGTAAATTTGCATAAACTGTAACTTTTTTACACATATCAACCATAAAAATTAAGTTCAATTATTCAGACAAGTTTAATGTTATATATTTAAGCTATCTAAACTGTTAAAACAAAACAAAAACTACAAACTCCCATTTTTGCTTTTTAATAGCACAAAAAGTCGTAACAGATATAAACTGTAGCTTTTTCACACATATCAACCACAAAAACCAAGTTAATCATTCGAACAATTTTAATATCATATGTTGAAGCTATCCAAATTGTTAAATCAAAACAATAACTGCAAACTTGCATTTTTGCTTTTTAACGGCATAAAAAATCTTAAAAAGATATAAACCGAAACTTTTTTACCCATATCAACCATAAAAACTAAGTTCAATAATTTGGACAAGTTTAATATAATGTGTTTAAGCTATCTAAACTATTAAAACATATCAACAATTGCAAACTCCCATTTTTGCTTTTTAACGGCATAAAAAGTCCTAAATAAATATAAACCATAATTTTTTCATACATATCAACCATGAAAACCAAGTTCAATCATTTGGATAATTTTATTATCATAAATTGAAGTTATCTAAATTGTTAATTCAGAATAATAACTGCAAACTCGCAATTTTGCTTTTTAATGACATAAAAAATTCTAAACAGATATAAACCATAACTTTTTCATACATATTAATCATAAAAACCAAGTTCAATCATTCGAACAAGTTTAATATTATGTATTTAAGCTATCTAAACTGTTAAAATAAATCAATAACTACAAACTCACATTTTAGCTTTTTAATAGCATAAAAAGTTCTAAACAGGTATAAATCGTAACTTTTCAAGCATATCAACCATAAAAACCAAGTTTAATCATTTGAACAAATTTAATATTATTTATTGAAACTATCTAAATTGTTAAAATAGAATAATAACTATAAATTTGTATTTTTGCTTTTTAATGACAATAAGAAATCATAAATAGACACAAAGTACAAGTTTCTCATTTAATGCTTACTTACTTTTTCTTTTTGCTTTCTCACAAAGCTTTATGATTTACTCGTGTGGCTGTATTTCAGTTGTTTTCTACTAGCAATTCCAATCTTTTCTTTTTCTTGTCATAAAAAATAAATGTATAATCGAAAATTCAAATATTACCAACCAAAATTTAGAAAACATCTTTATTATAAAAAATAATATTAAAAATTATAAATTAGTACCTCTTCTTTCCTAGAGAATCAAAATCTAACAAATTGTTCATATTACCATATAATCACACCATGAGGTAGCTTTTTGATTATGGCCTTTACAGTACTATTTTGATCGAAATACTTCTTCTTCGAATTATGCTTATAGTCTTTTCATTTTTTTCTAATAACTTAAGCACAAATAAATAGGTATTTCAAGTAAAAATCTTGATTGTAACAATACATAAAGAAAAAGTTACAATTGATAAACCAACTTTAAAATAATTAATATTTCTAATATGTAATTAATTATTCTAATACCTAAATAAAGTTTAAAACATCATTTTTAACTTTTGCTGGAACTTTATGCCATATTTCATAATGAATAAGAAATTTCATTCCATTATGGGCAACCATTCCTAAAAATCCAACTAACTGTTAACACTCTTTACCAATTAGTTGCCTTTAGAGTTTGCAGACACTATAATATGCTTGTTTAAAGGTAGGGTCCATAATTTCTTCAAAGTTGTTTGACCTTCAGTTCTTTGTTGACCATTGTTATTAACTGTAAAAAATAAAAAGTCAATTAATAAATTATCAATACTTTAATGATTATAATCAAAATTTAAATATGGGGTTTACAGTACCCATGTTTAAGTTAGAAGCTAAATTAATTTGTGAGATAGTATCTAGATTTGAATCTCTTGTATTGCCAAATCTAGTATCGATTGAAGGGTTAAAATCAATTGAAATAGAATCGACAATAAGTATATTCCCCTTTAAAGGATTCAGTCCATTGCTAAGATCAGCAGATGCCATATACGGTTCTGAACTAATATCTTTGATATGTATTCCCCTTAATCTATTTCTTGGCATTGTAACTTAGTTGCATCGTAAAAAAGAACCAGTTAAAAGTTGGAAAGGTAAGATATTGTAAATATCACTAATTATATATAAAGAACATATATAAAGACATTGAGAAGTTAAGAAATCATAACCAATGTTATACAAGGAACATATTGATTCAATTAAATTAAATGATAATGTATGATTTACAACACTAACTATACAAAAGCGAATGCCACATAAATTACATAAAAGCATTTATTATATTATGTTTTGAACATTCTAATTACAAAATATAGATAATCCATCATGGTTCATAAATGTTTTCATCAACAACTTTACAGACCCACTGTATAGAGGTACTAAAGATATTTCCATCCAAGTTTTGTTCAACAAAAGGAAAACATTCAATTTCGTGTTCAACATCATCTTTACTATCTAATCCCATATCAAATAAGTTCCTAAGTGTATTATGAAGAACAACAAACCGACTTGATTCTTTAGGGTCTTTATAATAAAATATTTGTTTGACTTAAGAAGAAAAAATATAAGATTCATCAATGAGTTATTTGATGTGAATTAATCGAAAAAAATTCATGATTGTAAATCCAAACTGATCTTTCTTAATACCCATCGCACTATTCACATCAACTCAATCACACCGAAATAAGACAACCTTCCACTTACTATAATAATCCAACTCAATGATGTCATTAATCATGCCATAATAGTCAACATTTTCCTTCAAAGGGTTTGTGTCCCTGGCACTAGCATAGCTAGTAGTTAACGAAGTAACAACAACTCTTGAATTTTGTGTTCTTTTAAATTTCCACGGGATTTAGTGTAAAATCTAAATCCATTAATGATAAACCTTTGTATCATTTCACAATCTTGGTCAGACTTTATTCAAGACACTTCACTTCTTTACTAATAAGCCTTCCACTCTAAACCTATAAAGGTGAAATAAAATATATGTTATTAATTTTATTTATACCTTACCATCGTATGTACAATTCTCAAAATAGGAAGTACGACATTACTTATAGTTTCTCCTAACCATTTATGAAAATTTTTGGTGAATAACTTATCAATTTCTCGAGGATTTGATCATCAATAATATGTATGAACTCTTAAATTGGTTTCAATACTCATTATATGCATTAAAATAAAGTATTAACAATAAAAAGAAAAGTCCATAAATTATGCTTAATAGAATGAATGATTTCCTTATACATAAACTTGCATGTGAAATGATTCAATTGAATCATGATGAAAAAAAACATATCGATACGCTGGTGCCCAAGATTTATCATCTAAGTCCCCCACTTCAACTTTGCCTATTAGTTGTCCAAAACTTTTAAAAAGAAAAGTATAAGCAAAATCAGTATGCTGCATACCAATATTTCTCAATGGTTTATTAAATCTTGTTTCAATATCTTCCAAATATCAAGAATAAAATGTCATACACTCCTCTGCTAAATATCCTTCAATAATAGAATCTTTCGAATAACGCTTATTGTGACTAAGATTTTAACTTCCCTAAAAACCTAAGACATAAAACGTTTGTTATATACCTCTTTAACTATAATGGTATCATAAACATTAACAACTTAATCAAGCTATTAACAAATAATGCCTTTCGATATGATACATCCATTGATAATAAATTAATCCATTAATTTTTGTTTTATATGGAAGGTAGATAACCAAATGTATCATAATAGTGAGAAATTTAGAGAAAAAATCTTTTCTAAATAACATAAAATAATTACAGCCTGATCTTGAAGATTGTCAAGCTCTTTCATATTTAGAACTTTCACACAGAGAGCTTTAAATATATTACTCTATTTAATTACTGCTGAAAGTGACTTATTTTAGTATTGATGAACATAAAGCAATGAGAAATAAGTCTTGCATCAAGATGTGATAATCATGTGACTTCAACGAAAAAAGTTTTTGCTCTTTCAGATTCACATATCTTAATATATTTGATGCATAGCCATCCGAGACTTTCAATTTTTTCAAAACCTTACAAAATGCATATTTCTCACCTTTAGATATCCCAAATCAAGTATGAAGTAATCGAGATTTGCCATTAGGAAGCAACTTTGGAAAAGGTCAAGGTGAATTCCCATGTCAACTAGGTCAAGTTGACTCTTTAAGTCATTCTTTGATCTTTTATTCACATTGAGAATTGTCCCGATAAAATTTTCATAAACATTATTTTCTATGTACATTACATCAAAGTTATGATGTAATAAATTATATTCTCAATATGGCAACTTAAAAAAGATACATTTTTTTCATAACTCAAACTTATTAAGGCCATCTTCTTTATCTTTCTCTTCATCATTTTGAACATCATCATTACCACCTTGAGTATTAGCATCACCAACTTGAGGAATAGGAGGCCAGACACCTTCAAAGATCTCCTTCACTCTTTTCTTTAATTGAGTCATTTTTTTATAAGTGAAATTAATATCTTTTAACTTTAACAAGATATAAATTTTAATAATTAATAAAAATGCTCTCCTTAACTCTTCGTTTCCATCAAAAAGATGTTTTTGAAATCTAAATCGATGATTATCATCTAACCATTGACCATGTGCCATATAACAAAACTTTTTACCATTATGTAACCATTTTGAACATGTCTGCGTAGCACAACATAGATAAGTATAATGACTTTTGGTGCTTCAACTATATAAATTTGCATAAGTAGAAAAATTGTTAATAAAACAATATAAATATTGAAGTTCTCTTTTTTTTAAAGCATCATAAATCTCAACTCTTTCCCATAATAGTTTTAACTTTTTAATCAGAGGTTGTAAGTAGATGTTTATATCATTTCTCAAACTTTTCTTCCCAAAAATTATCATAGATAAGATAAATGATTGTTGCTTCATGACAATCCATGGTGGTAAATTATAAGGAATTAATACAATTTGTCAAGTACTATAAGAAGTACTATAAGAAGTACTTATCACTTTGAACAGATTAAATCCATTAGATGCTAGTCCACGTATAACATTTCAAGGATTAGAAGTAAAGTCTAAAAATCCAAAGTAAAATGATTTCCATGCTAAAGAATTAGCAAGATAACTTAATGATCCATCATCCGTCCACTTGTCATGATGTCACTTCATAGAATATGTAGTTTTAGAAAACATGAAGAGTCATTGAAGTCTCGGTATTAGTGAAAAATATCATAAAACCTTTATAGGCTTTTTTTATATGGACTTTACATTATCCTTGTTCAACCTTTCTTCGGGATTTGTGTCCACCCAATGAAAATTACCACATACATGACAAGATTGTTGATTTTTTTTATCACCCTAATGCAACATACAACCATTAAGACAACTATGAAATTTCTCATATCCAAGACCTAACTCCTTCATCATTTTCTTTTAATCTTTATAAAATTCAGGGATTTTTACAATTGGAAACATTTCTTTCTTAAACTCCAATAATAAAGTCAAAGAGTTTTTGTCCATCCACATAAGCATTTCAAGTGAAAAAAACGCACATAGAAAGACAACCTTGAATGTTTAGATCTCTCGTAAAGTTCTTTAGTTATATCTTCAAGCAACCTATACAACTTTGATGTTTCTTCACTAGGTTATTGGTCTCCTACACCTATCCCATGTTCACCAAATTCATTCAGTTCAACATTTGACTCATTAAATCCATCATTTTAGAAAGACAAATTATGGAAATGTTGGTTATGACTGCTGAAAGCATCCCATAATATGCCTTCTATGTCATCTTGTCAAATAGGATCATATTATTGTTGAAGAGCCCTTGAAGTTGAAGGAACTCTAGTCGATAACATTGACGGTATAGACTTTCTATGAAAATATCAAGTAACATATCCCGATAGAAATCCAATACAAACTAAATGTTCCAAAACAATTTCACGGATTTGTCAATCGATATTAGCACACTTTAAACATGGGCACAATATCATATTATCTTCACTTGCATTCTTAAATGCAAAATTAAGAAAATTTTCCACTCTATCTCGGTACTCTTGACTTAATCTTCACTTTTGCATCCAACTGTTATCCATTTAGTATTTGCTATATTATCAAGCCAAAGTTATATAATTAATTATATGAAAATGAACTCTAACATAATTAATTAGATTGACCCTAAATCCAAAAATAATAACAAGTCGATATCACCAAACAAGTTATTTAAATTTTTTGTATATTTTATATGATATAAAAAAATGAGTCGGTGCATCTATATTATGCATGTAACATGGCAAAATATGAAATGAAGACAAAAAGAATATTCTCAAATATTGGAAAAAAGTATATATTTAAACCAACCAAGTATGGAATTTGGAATTTGACAAATTGAATAAATACCTATGAAGAGTATAAAGGTTACACACATTTAGGCCTACCTTAAGTGATAAATACTTGCAATTCTCCAAATCTATATGAAGTTGTAAAAGGAACTTGTATTGATTACTTATTTGCGATAAAAAAATAATGTTAGTGTGCTAATTAATTAATTAGTATGCTAAGCTCAAAAATAATATTGTTGTCTATATATATCTCAATTTTTCAGTATTTCAACATCCAAATGAGAAATGTACCCATTCAAAAAATTTTTTAAAAAAGCAAATTAGAAAATAAAGGAAAAAAAATCTTCTTTTTATGTAAACAATAAAGACTCTCTATTTGAAAAATGAAGTTGAATTTTACATTTCATTAAATTAATTTTGTATTATCCTTATTTTCTTCCTTCAAAAGAAACACAATTATAAAAATACTAAATTCTATTATAATCTTATAAAATTATTTTCAATAGGGCACTCATTCATATTAATTTAATACATTTATAATTTTATTATTGAATTGTATTTTGACGTAATAAATTGAACACAAAATTTTTTTTCCTTTTTGACCGAGAAAAGCATAATTATTCCTCGATTATAAAAAATAAAAATTTCAAAAAAGGCAATATAAAATTGCATAATTATCCTCAATTATTATTTTCCTTTGTGATCATTTATAAAAAAAATAAGAATATAAAAAAGGCAAACTAAAACTGCATAATTATTCTTTAATTGAACTAATTAAGTAAGAATTTCAAAATTCAATTGAAAAAAAAAATAAGGATCTAAAAAAAAAGCAACCTAAAACTATATAATTATTCCTTAATTGAACCAATTAAATAAGAATTTCAAAATTCTAAAACATGTGGTTGAAAAGCAAGACCATTGTAAATGGGGAGTCAGCCGGTTGTCAGTTTCTTAATTTACTCATACAATTAAATGGAAGGAGACATGAAAAATTCATATCCTAATAAGTCATAGGTATTATAGACATTGAAACAAAAATATAAGATAAGAACATTAAATGCATGCACTTGAGATTTTTTTTAATTTTTATTAAGGTTGAATTTTGAATTTTACATGTTCATTGAATTTACCAAACAAACACAAAATATACATTATTTTTATATGCGTATACACATATAATTGTTTCTTTTATGGGTGGGTCAGGGGTGGGGTTGGAGTCATGGTCCATGGTTGAGTCTTAAGGTGTACTTTGGTAGAAGATTAGATGATTTTGACTTAGGAAATGATTTTTATTTAGGTGATTAGGTAATATCAATGGGTGGTTTCTGCAAATGCATTAAATTTCATTTTTGACCAAAAAAAGCAATAGCAATAAATTTTACATGTGTAATACTAGTATTTAATAGTAGCTATGCTATTCAAATATTAAAGCCAATCTAGATAACTTAATCTCATTTTGTTAGTAAAAATTTTTAATTGTTCATTCATAAAATAGTATTATCTACTTTTGTATGTACTATCCCTACTTGGTTTGGTGAAACTGGGAATGTTGCTTCTTTCTTTCCTTCCTACCAAATTTAGTGTAAAATTTTTCAATTTTATCAGAATTATTATTCTTGAATGCGGATACATCCACATCAATTTATCATATGTATAATTTTACTAAATTTATCTGAATTTAAAAGCTAGCTTGATGAACAACATCCAATTGACAAAATTTTAAAAATAACATTCTCTCAAATATTTGAGATTCAACTTATCCAAATAAATCAAGTATTTTCTATAAATTAAATCATCGAACTAAAAAATGTTTAACAAAATTAAAAATTTTATACAATCAAGGTTCTAATTACAATAAAATAAAAATTCATAACCTTAATTTCATACAATAAAAGATCAGAGACTTATTTTCATTTTTGAATAAAGTTTGAGGGTTTATTTTAGTATTATTCCATTTTTTTCCTTAAAACCCATTTTTAAGTGCTCAGCCCAGTATTTTTTAAAGTGTCTCTCTTTATTTGTAGAAAAATTGTACACAAGTAATAGAACATACCATCAATTAAAGGATAAATTATTACCTGAGAAAAAAATAGAGTGTTTCTGGATATTGCTTCTTCATTCCACCATACAAACTTTGTCACAACTGCAACAGATATCTTTTGATGGGAAGAAGCCATTGAAGCTCATTTAGAGCGCCTTATTATTCTACTTAACTCAGAAACATTTTGGCCTTCAACATGCATCTCTTCCAACTGCACAGCATAAAAGATTTTACAAGCTGCAACTATGAAGCAAATCAAGTATAGAAACTTTGGGAACAAATAAAACAAGTTTGCAAGCCTTTGCTTGATATAGTTGTTTAAGAGAGGCTTGCTTGTGAGTAAAAAACAAAAACTCAGTAAGACCTGTAACAACAAGCAATTTTGTCATTAAGTTATAAACGGTGACGGGAAAAGACAGAAGCAATTGAGTGTGGTTTACTTTCGCATTTGTTTGAATCCACTTAACACTGTTATCTGGTATACTAATGGTTTAAACCTTTCTACTACAATCTTAATGTTAAAATGAATTAAACAAAAGCAGTTTACTTTTGCATTTATTTGAACCATTTAACACTGTTATATGGTATATTAACAGTTTAAATCTTTCTACTACAATCTTAATGTTAAAATATATGTCGATGGCCATATTTGCAGATAAATTTAGCAAAAGAGTTGCTTATTTAGATAAAAGAATACATATGATAGAATTAGATTTAGTAAAATAAAGAAAGCTTGATGTCTAGACTAGAAAAGAACTAGAATATGAATTTTTACTATAATTTTCAAAATCACAACCTAGCCATTTCATAAAACAATACAGAATGCTAAACCTAGTAGTCAACTCCCTGATATTACTTCAAATAATGATGATAATAATAATTAAAAAAACGGGCAACTACCTCAGCATCCAAGCACATTACTTGCACTTGCAACAACCTACTGAAGCAATAGAAATCCACATTCATATAATTTAATATATGTCATTAGTAAAAGATAAGTCAAATATAATAGACAGATCCACAGGTCATGAACTAAATTAAGCATATTTCTACGCAAAATTTGTATCTAGCAAAGAACTAAGTTAAGTTTTGACTTTGGATTTAGCACATATGAAAAACATAATCAATGAAAATACAAAAGAACATTATTCATTAATTTCCATATGAGGCAATCATTGAAAATCCAAAAGAATTGCATTAAAGGGTATAAAACAAATGAAACAAACAGGTCAATAATATTCAGATGTAGGAACATGCCCAGTTAATGCTAAAATTAAAAACTATCAAGAAAATAATTTTTAGAAATCAATTACCACTTCATTTATCAAGAAAATAATTTTTAGGAACATGCCCAGTCAATGTTAATATTTAATTTTTAGAAATTAAATGGATTTCAATCTCACACTAATTTGGCAATCCATTCATTTGTCAAAGAGCCCAAAAAACCAAAAACCAAAAAAAAAAAAAAATCAAGCATAATTAGTAAGAATTTTTAAAAAAATCATAAAACAGCTTTGACAAATTAAATAAGAAAAGTTAAAAAAAAAAAAAACAATGGCTAAATATTTGTAATTTTTATTGGAAAAATAATTAGTAACTGGTTGGGTCCATAAGAAGCAAACGATAGGGAAGCCATTTTTGGTTCACTGCAACCACTGCAGATCGATGAACCTTTGGTGCTCCAGTGTCTTTACCCCCTGACCTTATTTTCGATAAAAATAATAAAATTTTAAGAATCAACAAAAAAAAAGTTCAAATCCAACAAATCTGAACAAATTCAACAAAAATAAAAACATTCCAATGTATTGTATAAATAGAAATCTACAAAAAAATAATAAAATTAAAAAAAAGAGCCGAATCAAGAATAAGGAACCATTTCTACTTTGATTTTATTGTAAAGCCTGTACCATTAAAGTTGAAGATGACAACTATAATGGTGATGAGTAAGAAGACAATGGAATAATTTACAGGTGGAAGTAGCTTAAACTAGGCTCTGTCTTTATTGCCTCTTTCAAGACAAATTTTCAAGACAAATTTCTTAACAAATTTCTTATAACAACATGCAAAACAAAAAAAAGAAAAGTAATCTTTGCCATACCTTTTAATAGCCCAAAATGCAATTTCAAATTTGGGAAAGGGAAAGAAAAAGAGAAACAAAGGGCAGATTTTTATACTAAGAAAGAGTGAGAGCAGAATATAAACCACAAATAAGGAGTGAGGGGAAGCAGAATTTGGGAAAGGAAAAGGAAGAATTTGGGAAACGAGGGGTAGGGAAAATCAGGATCAATTTTAATTAGGGGCTTTAATTGACAGTGTTTTAGTGGCAAACACCACTAAAGAATGACCTTTTATTGTGTTTTTTTAACAAAAACGCCACTAAATGATATAAAACGATACGGTTTATTTTAAAATATATTTTATAAAAAAAACATTTTAAAATATATTTTATAAAAAAAACATTTTAAAATAATAAAATTAGATCATTTTTTTAAGGGTGTTTTATTAGATAAATGCCATTAGATTTTATATTTAATAACGTTTTAAACTTCAAATGCCACTAACTTTATACTAACACATCAAATTATGGCGTTTGAAAAAACTTTAATAAGTTAACAATTTTGTACTAATACTGCTAACTTTATACTAACATCGTTAACTTCAAATGCTGTTAATTTTATACTAACACATCAAATAAATGTTGCTAACTTTATTCTAACACATCAAATAGTGGTGTTTATTGAAAAATCTGCTAAAACAATGTCATCAAATCTTCATTTTTCTGTAGTGAAATATTTTCAAATTGAAACTTTAAAAATTTTGAATTGTATGAACATATGAATATGAAAATTTTGTTGATCTTAATAAGTTAACAATTTTGTGAGTGATTTATTAAAGTGACATCATGAAAGTTCAAGAACATTAATAGTTATCACATTTGGCATGATGAAAAATAATATATAGTTTGTTATGACTCCATTTATTATTGTGCTCCTTATTTATTATTCAAAATCTTATTGGAGTAAGTTTATGATTCACTAGGTCAGTGTAAGCAATTGTGAAATGATTATATGATGATATATTTTCTTTTTGTGAAGATTATGGTTTTACCTAGTTCACAATATGGATATCTGTGGATATGGAAAATAAAACCCATTAAGGTTTTAGGTTGATTATCATAATAGATGCATTGAAAATTTTGATTTTGAAACCATTATTGTTTTAGGTTTTTTATTTTGTTAAATATATCGCACATGGTTGCTAATAACTTGAGATGAATAGATCCATAAGGTACCATAAAGTTAAGTGGATAAATTGGTTTATATATACATCACAATTGTTATTTTTGTATATATCTAATTGCATATACGCATTTCATATTGATATGTCATATTATAAAATCTTAAGACTTTGTATTTTCTTAATTATGACTTTAGTGTTATATAGGTATGTCTTATAAGTGATAATGGCAAGTAATCTTGAGGATAAGAAGGAGACGTATAGACACATTTCAATGTCATTGAGATTTCTCAGCAAGTTTGGAGAAATTAGTAAAATGATTGGCAGTGAAAATAATACATTTATATAATATTTTGGTGTTATTTTCTTGTTACATAGCCACACTATAAAGTCTCTGGTATTTGTAACCATAGATTGGTCATATGTTGATAAGGGATATAAAGGCTGCTATGATTTAGTATTAGATGATTTTTTTAGACAAGATCATTTAAGATGTTGCCTTAATGGTTAAATTGTTTTTAAAATTGTGACTACATAAAAGTAAAGTTAATCAGCCTGGAGTCTTGTTTAAGTTATGTTTTCATAAAATCAAACAACCTAATTAATATTGCTCAAGTGAGAAAATGGTAGAATTTTATAATAAGTGGGCTACTATTAGTTGGTGATTTTATAGTTTAATAAAACAGATTGATAGCTTTAGTCCTAATATGAGACATGCAAGAGAGCTTAAATAATTTAATTATGATCACTTAAGTGTGGGCTTTGCATATCGTATTGAATCAGTGTGGTTTTCGCAGTGGTGCAGGTCTTTGACCTAGTAAGCCTTTGATGGAAAGGCTTTTAAGGTTTCAATAAAATATTTGGCTAAAATCCTATCTTCACTTCTAATTAACGATATCTCTTTATTGAAAGTTGCTAATAAGAAGAATGAAGAGGAAGACTAAATCTCTCCATAACTTTTGTTTCTTTCAATTATCAAGTATGGATTCCCAAATAGATATGTAAATTAGTTTGTTTGATTGCAATTAAAGGTGTTCATTGGCTGGGTAGGGCGGGGTCGAGTTCACGCTTGGTATTAATAACTTTATTACTTGCTCAAACTCAATTTGACTCGAAATTTTGCGTCTAAAAAATTTCTCAAGCTGAACCTAAATTAAAAAAAAATAAATCTCAAACCCACAAATTAAACTTAATTATATAATAAAAAATTAAAAAAGTGTGATTAGATCAAGTTTAATGGGATTATATTTAATTTATGTATATATAAATTTTAAAAAATTATATTTGTAAGAATTAAAAATAAAAATTAAGTTTAATAAAATATATATAAAATTTATTTTTAATTAATTTTCATATATATGTAAATTAATTTTTATATAATTCACATATATATAAAAATAAAAAATTTATATATGTGTGAATTCGGAGGACCGAGTTAGGCTCAGGTTTTAAATATTTTATTCAAGGCTCAACATGAAATTTAAACAGGCCTAAAAATTATGTCTAATCATGTTTAATAAGTTTTAATTTTTTATCCAAACTTTTCAAAACTTGGGCGGACCTTGAGACTTAAATGAATAGCCGACCTTTGAAGAGGTCTAATTGTAATATTCTAATATTTACATATGAATTATTGGATTATACTCGCATGAATTTGTTGTGAATATGAAACCTTTGACCTGTATTCATCACACAAATTTCCTGTAACCTGTAGGAACTTGCAAATGATCAAACATGAATGACGAACAAAAATAGCATATCCTTCAAAACATTGCGACAACTTGCAAATTGGAAATAGCTACAATCAAATGTGCCAGTACTCTTGTTTGCATGACACTAACAATTTGCATTTATTTATATCATCTAAAATGTTAAAGTTGCAAAAGTTTCTATATATATGCTTTGAATTTGTGATGTCTAGGCACTACAAGAAACTTTGAGAATTTCCTGTTTAAAATCTTTGCAGCAAAAATGTATATAACCTGAAAGCAAAAATTCTCATCCTTATGTATAGCGTACATAGGATTCCTTTTGCATGAAACGATATATGCCATTAGAAGTTGTTTGTTTGTTTTTGTTTTCTTTTCTTTAAGAATGTCAAATATCAACTCATCATGAAAGAAAATCCAGAAAATAAAGGCGATTAAAGCAATTAAGAACAAATCCACACCACCAGAGAGTTACGCTTACGAATCAAAAAAGAGTTGAAAAGTATACTGATGTTGGTTCTTCGCAGGTGCATGGGCTGCTCTAATAATAAAGTGTGTCAGTTAGATATCGTTCTTGTTAACAAGGGTTGAGTCAGTCTAGTGCTAAGTACCAAAATTGAGCACCTTAATTATGTTTGGCTTTTTTTAAAATTGTATATGAATGGACCTAATTGCCTATTGCATAAAAATGAAATGTACTGAATTAATCTAAGCTAATATGCATGCAATTGAACTTGAATTAAACTAAGCAACCAACTCAATCTAACACATGAAATTACGTATTAAACCAAAGTGAATGATATTGAAAACAATTTATATTATGCATTAACTAAATGAAGCATGCGGCTATGTCAAAGAAGGCTATGAACTAACAGTAACTCATGCATTAACATGAAACCGATTCTAAACTTGAACAAAATCACCCTTGGAATTCAGCTCAAAACAGCAACTATTTAGCTATTACGTCAAGGTAAATGAACTTGAAAATTAACAATAATTGTAAATGGAATAGACATGGAAGTGCAAAAGAATTTAAGGACAAGAATTAACAAAAACAGAAACTAAAAACATTTTATAAAGCTAAAGCTAAAACAGAGTAGATATTTAAACAAACATGTAATGAACTAAAAATTGAGAGTAATATAAATTGCATTAAGCTTGATTCAAGCTAGATATTACCTCGTAGGCTCTATCACTACCTAGAAGCAACATTAACCTTCCTCATTTAGCTTCAAACAACATTAAACATCAAAGAAAATTGAAGAAACCGAGCATCAAGCAGATTCTAGAATCAACATCAGCAACTTTCTGTTTTCTTTCAAAATTAATGGTGTTTAATCTCCAAAATTAAATGCAAAACTAGATCATTATTGTAGGTATATGTATTAAAAAAAACTCAACAAGAATTGAATGGAAAATTTAAATGAATTGAATCAAAACAGTAGCTTAAACCGAACTTGAATAGCTGGAACAAAGTTGAAAAAAATAAAAAATTTCAAACTGACTTGTCAAGAAATTGCTGTAAAGAAATGATTCTAGAGCTAAAGAACAACTAAGAACATGTAAATGAAAGCTTGAAAGAAAATTAAGTGTAGAAATTTAAAGAGAAAATACAAGAAAATGACTGTTTGGCGGCTAAGAAAATAAATGCAGTGGAAAGAAAATCTAATCTACTCCTAAACTAATCCTAAGCTAATCTAATCTCTACTCAGCTCTCTCTCGCATTTGGCAGCTGAATGGCGTATTTATAGGCAGCAATGAGTTGTTAAGAACTAATGAAAGCTCTCAATTTGTCCAGCTAGGCCTCCAAGTCAGCAGGGGAAGTTAAAACCGCAAGTCTGCTTCTCCTTTTGGCAGCAACGGTTTTTCCTAGCTTCCATAAAGAAGAGAGCTGCTATTTTAAGTGACCAATCATAAGGCAGAAAAATGCCGAGTCAGCCTCTACTTCCTTGCCCCTTGAAGTGCACTTTTGTGTTCACAAAACAACCACAAACCGCATGTTCCAGCCAGCTCCTTTACCTCCTCTTTGCTTCTTCACTTTGAACTAAAAAGTAGTAATCCTTGAGCTAAAAAGATCAACCAATGAGAGTGCAGCAAATATCCAGCTCAGCAACTATTTTAGTCAGCCAAATCCAATTCAACTCCAATTTAGCTTGCACAAACCGCACCCACCACTAACAGCTTCCTTGATCACGTGTGCAATTTTCTTCCACTCTTTTCACTTCTTACATAGCTCGTTGACATCCTTAGGCACTTTGATTACTTAGGACATGACTTAAACACTTATAATCATGCTTCATTGCACATTTGGCTTGCTCAATTTCAGCTTAAAAACCTTGCAAAATTTGACTACTCCTTTATTTAGC